TTCAAAAAGGCTAACTTATACTGAGGTGAAACCAGGGTTCTGCTGGGACATGTGGGAAATGTATTAATCCAAAGAGAGTGTGGCGACTGGAACTAGAAGTGAATATTAAGACATGGGCCACATTAATCATTTGCAGCGACATGCTCTATGGCTCTCCTTCAAAGCAAGAAAATCGTAGAACCTGAAGTTAACTCCAAACATCTTCTAGTCTGAACAGACATCCATTACACCTAAAATGCCTCTGACATTTTAATCCAATCTTACTCTGAAAACTGAGTAAAGAAGATCTGCATGCTCTCTTTTTGATATTTGGGCCATACCTGCAATTCCAACTAGGAAAGTTTATTCTAATATTTAAGATTACTGTTACCCTTACTGTGGACATAAATCTGGCTTGCATGTATCTAGGTTAGTCATTTCTAGAATACCAACTGCCAGAAAAGAAGAATGAAATCTCCCTTCTTTTTTTAACCATTCCCAACCTGATCACCTTGATAGATACTCTCACTCATCACAGCTAAATTGTTGACAGACCTCGAGTAAACAATGCACAATTTCCTTACCTCTTAAAACTTTCTTTTTGATATTAAATGTGCCTTCTCTTTTTCAGCCTTTACTTGTAATCATGTTTTTAAGGCCCTCTTGCATATCATCCTGACCTCCATTTCTTTTATTATTATTTTTTAAATGTAAGCATTTTCAGACTTCCTACCCTGAGGGAAACCTTCCTCTGCCAAAGAACTCCTAGGTTCCAACCTGTCACTGCTAGGACTGCCATATTTCAAACAGTGAAAATCTGTTCGCCAAACTTTTTGGCCAAAGTTGTTGAGCTCTTTTGGCAAAATCGCCATTTTTATGGAAAATCAGCGAAAACAACACTGCCAACATGGACTGCCATACGTCCAGATTTTCCCGGACTTTTTTTTACCGATTTTCGCCCGGACACTGCTGCCATCTGCAGTATTCCGGATATATCCGGGAAATCCCAGATGTATGGCAACCCTAGACTGCGGTCCCAAGGGGAAGGCTTGGCATCAGTTGCCCATCCACAGGCGACCTCCTGCCTGGACTACTGCAGTGCACTCTACTCAGGGCTGGCCTTGAAGACAGTCTGTTAGTTGCAGCTGGTCCAAATGCAGAAAGTAGACTGGTGAGTGGAGCAGTCTGATGGGACCATATCCACCAGTCCTGAAAGCATGGTGACTGTCAGCTCCCAGGCCCAAGTCAAAGTATTAGTACTGGCACGCAAATCTGTAAATGTTTTTTAGATGCTCTTATTTGCTTTAAATGTTTTAAATATGTTTCATTTTATTTTTTATTTTTCATTTTTTTTTACTATTTGTATTACTACTATATTACACCGTTCCATTTTGCAATGGCTTTGCATGTTTTAAAAATGCAGTATTCCTTATCTGTTTAAAAGTTGCATTTTCTGTTTGTTGCAACCTTGCCTTGAGACCTGATGGTGGATAGCAGTGAATACATCTTATAACATTTGCTATTATTATTATTATTATTATTATTATTACTACTACTGTTTACATGTCAATAACTACCGTATTTTTTCATAGAATCATAGAATCATAGAGTTGGAAGAGACCACAAGGGCCATCGAGTCCAACCCCCTGCCAAGCAGGAAACACCATCAGAGCACTCCTGACATATGGTTGTCAAGCCTCTGCTTAAAGACCTCCAAGAAGGAGACTCCACCACACTCCTTGGCAGCAAATTCCACTGTCGAACAGCTCTTACTGTCAGGAAGTTCTTCCTAATGTTTTTGCTAATGTTCCTAATGTTCTTCCTAATGTTTTTGCTCTATAAGACTCACTTTTTCCCTCCTAAAAAGTAAGGGGAAATGTGTGTGCGTCTTATGGAGCAAATGCAGCCAGCGCAGCTATCCCAGAAGCCAGAATAGCAAGAGGGATTGCTGCTTTCCCTGCGCAGCAATCCCTCTTGCTGTTCTGGCTTCTGAGATTCAGAATATTTTTTTTCTTGTTTTCCTCCTCCAAAAACTAGGTGTGTCTTATAGTCTGGTGTGTCTTATAGAGCGAAAAATACGGTAAATACTAGGTCAACCCTGATAAAGGGCAAAGAAGCATCTCAGAAGCTCAGTTTCCTCTACCAGGCAGCGCATTGCGTCCTTTGGCAGAACCCAGAGAACCCGGAACTGGCTCGCTTTTATTGCCACACGCAGAAACAGCATCAGCCGGCGGCTCGTGTTAAGACAGGATCCATCTGCAAATCTTGCTTCTCCCCTCTCATCCCTGAAATCAGCTCCACTTTGCACCAGAGAAAGCACCGTAATCAGCAGTGGACCGTTGTGCGTTGTCTCTGTTGGGACACTGCCAGGGAGGCAAAGTCCATCATGGCCCCCAAGTCGCCTCTGGACGTCCCATCGATCTCCCGTAGATACAGTATCAGCAATTAGCGACACAAGCTCCAGAAATAGCCTGCCACATTCTCAAGCTCATGCACACTCTATCAGCAGATAATGCACGGCAAAAGTTGCACGCAGGAGAGTACTATTTACAAGTTTTATTCAGCGTTGATCAGAACAAAGAAAACATGACTGCCTGCTTCAGTGTCTCTGACACAGAGAGAGCGAAAACAAAGACACAACAGAAACATCCTGTGAAACAGGAAATACACAGGCTGTGTGACTCACAAAGCCTGCTCCCTTTTAAGGTGGAATGGAAATATCCTAACAGTCTCAACTGTGGCTTCACCAAGCATTTCCTCAGCAACCCTGACTACAAGTTGTGATCGGAGCAACCTGAGGCATTGCTGAAGAAGCAGACACCCCCTCGAGAAGGAGCAAAAGCTTCAGGCCAGACCCCCAGCTCAGTGCAACAGCCCCCCCCCAAAAGTCCTCCTGAGCAGAAAAGGCAACACCACCTGCAAGTTCTGAACCTCACAGCCATCCTGCCTCTGAGGAGACGACAGCAGGCACCAAATCTAAAGGGAAGAAGGGGGAACGAACTCTACCCAGGCAGGCAGGCAGGCAACTGTGGCTTGGTAGCAAACGTATAATCCCCAAGTAAGGGCAGAAGAGTCAAATGTTGTTAATATAAATACTAGGTTGTTTGCTGTCCTGGGCTCCTTGGGAAGGAAAGGTGGGATAGAAAATTGGGCTTGCCGATCAGAAGGTCGGCGGTTTGAATCCCCACGACAGGGTGAGCTCCCGTTGCTCGGTCCCTGCTCCTGCCAACCTAGCAGTTCAAAAGCACGTCAAAGTGCAAGTAGATAAATAGGTACCGCTCTGGCGGGAAGGTATACAGTGTTTCTGTGCACTGCTCTGGTTTGCCAGAAGCGGCTTATTCTTGCTGGACACACAACCCAGAAGCTGTATGCCGGCTCCCTCGGCCAGTAAAGCAAGATGAGCATCGCAACCCCAGAGTCGTCCACGACTAGACCTAATGGTCAGGGGTCCTTTTACCTTTACCTTACCATAATAATGTCTGTCATAGAAGACCTGTTGTACTAAAGTGGATTCTGAACAGAGGGCTGTATACCCAGCATCCTCTGTCTGCTAGTGCAAGGGCTCTTACACTAGTGGACAGGTGAGTTTTAATGTTGCACAACAGAGGAATCCAACACACCAGCTGCAGTAACGCAAATTCAATGCACATCAGACTGCAAAATCTATTGTGCAACAAAGTCACCAGCAACCTGCTTGTGCATTTTCTTGCGCATCAACGTTCCACTGGTGCAAAGCATTTTGCCAGCAGAAGTGAGTTTCTCCAAGTGAGTTTAACTTGGTGCTACATCGGATATTGTCTATCTTCTGGAACGCATGCAGGGTTTAGATGGAGGTTCTGGCCAGGCCTTGTGGCCTCATGTCCTGCTTTGCATTACAAATATTAGGATTCTGTTTCAGCATTTCAGTTCTCGTGATTCTACTCACTGCTGTGCTCCAGCAGTGGCAACCAAGACCCCATTCGTATCAATCCATCTAGAGGCATAGTGATCCTGCTGCAAAGTGCAAATACATTCAGCACCCTGACATATGGGGCACTCAAAACAGGAAAGGCAGGGCAATTTGCAGTCTGGGACTGCCGCTCACATAAAAGTTCATGTTTTTAAACTCAACTCAGCATTCAATTACCTTACCCTTTCGAAACTGTAGAAGACGGGGGTGTTAATCAAACAGGTAATTTGCAAATGTTTTTCCTCAGTAAATGTCATGCGCAAGTAGATATTTAGAATATAAGGCACAGAAAAATTGCTGCCAGGTAACTTTGTGCTGGCTGTATTTATGTTTGTCTATCTTGAGAAAGAAGGAAAGTAGAGGGGGATGAGGGAGAGAAACAAATCTTGTTTGCATTTTGAAGAGAAGAGGAAAATGTTCCATCTTCTCTGCAAAGCACAGAGTTTCAGCAAACAGACTGAGGCATTGCCACGGGCTCATTTTCACAACACCACTTGTGCTCAGCTAAAATTCCCAGAGTGGTTTGACAATCGATCCCTCTTCTCAAGGAACTCTGGGAATTGTAGCTCTGGAGGGCTGAAATGGGGGGTCTCCTAAATTCGTTTCTGCACCCTTAACAAACTACAACTCCCAGGATTCTTTAGGTGGAAGCCATGGCAGTTCAAAGTGCTTTTAACATATGGTGTGAATGTGGCCTTCCTGACCTAGAGAAAATTTAGGTCAGCCAACACCACGGAGGACAATGCTTGAAAGGCTCTCATGATTCTTAACCAACCTTCCCCAACCTGGTGCCCTCCAGATATTTTGGACTGCAACACTCATCAGAAACCAGCAAGCACAGCCCATATGATGCTGAGGCAGATGCAAGCTCACTCATCCTGACTGGCATATAATGCTGCAAAATTAGAATCGTGTCCCATGTTAAGCTTGGGCAATAGGTTGCTCCCGGGTTTTAAGAGGAGGTCGAAGGCTATAGAATGAGCATAATGACATTGCTAAAAGGCACTAAACTAGTCTTGAAACTGTTGAGGAAGGAAAAGAGGCAAGAATAGATAGGTGGGGTGGGGTGGAAGCCATAGCTCAGTGCCAGAACGTTTGCTTTGCACGCATATGGCCACTGGTTCAACCCCTGGTTGGGAATGACCCTCCTTTGACAACCCCTGAGAGCTACTGTGAGTCAGTGTGGACAATAGTGGCCCAAGTGATAGATTCCTATCTTCCAAAAGAACAGATAGACTGTACATCACACTCAACGAACCAGACTGGTTTCTGAACAACACTTTAAAAAAGCTGGCCTAGAAATATCAAATGGGCTCCACTGATCCAAAATACACTCTCTGATAAAACATAAAGGGGTGTGGGTGATTGTTCTGCCATTGCTCATCCTCTAGCCCCAAAGGCTTAATTAAAAGCGGCCTTTAATTATAAGAGCTAGATGCAGCACCCATAAATCAATACAGAATATATGACCCAGAGGTCTGTCAGAAGCTTGCCATTTGATTAGACTTGACGATGGATGGGAACCTCGTAGATGTGAAATGTCCATCCTCTACAAAAACCAAAATGGGTGGGGGGAGGGGGGCGCTTATGGAGCCTCCATGCACGGTGTGTGTTTTTTGTTGTTGTTAAGTTTCATCGCAGCAAAAACACCCAGTGGGGGGGGGAAGCAGAGTTGAGTTGTCAAGGGAGATAATTGGTTTTGACAGGCCTACAAGTTAATTCATCGCTGTTTTGCAACTTATTTGGAAATTCTCCCATAGCCACATCCCAAAGGACAGCTTGTAATCACTCGTAAGCTCATATTAGGTGGAGAGTTAAATATCATTAGATCACAGGTACAGCCGGAGCTCAGTAAGAGACTACTAATGTGTTACTCTAACCTTCTCCATTACCTGAAGGACATGGCAGCATCGCAAAGGTTAGGAAGATTATGACTCAAGTTGCAAATTGCTTGTAACTAAGAGAATTAAAGTTGAGGTACATTTCTAGGTAGCCCACAAAATGTTTATGAGGAACGGAGAACGAGGCCTATTTAAAAAGCCATCCTCCTTTTTTATGCCCCCGCTTTTTAAAGTTCGCTTGCACAAATAGAAAGAAAATTAAATGGAAAGAAATAAAGAGAGTTATTAAACCCAACTCGGGATCTGAATTAATAAAAAGCAAAATTAAACTGCCACTCAATATCACCATGTCGATGCTTTATAACCACAGTATATAAAAGAATAGGTAGGTATTTTAAGCCTATATTGTAAAGGCCATATTGTGTGTCAGTTTTATTTCAAAGGAATTAAATATTAATTGCTCGACAAAAGGAGGGGGAATAAAAATAATGCCAGAACCCAAAATAATTCAATTTTCCACAAGCTTAAAAGGATATTTGCATAATTTCCTTTGCTCAAGCTACATTTAATGAGCTTAATTGAAAGACAACCCTTTGGGCTGATTTTTTTTCCCAGGCAGTACTTAAGAGTAATGTGAGCAAAGGCGTACAGTAAGACTTCAAAGGGCTCCCCTTCCAGTTGCCATTTGCTTTCTTAACCATCAGGAGGACGAGAGCCTCAAGGGGGATTCAGAAGGTTGTCAAGGTGCCAGACCAACCCACCAACCCGGCTTAATAGCAGTATTAATGCTTCTTAAACTATCCCTGATCAAGAAATCCTGATCAAGGGGGATTCAGAAGGTTGTCAAGGTGCTAGACCAACCCAGCTTAATAACAATATTAATCCCTGATCAAGAATCCTAGCAGATTTTAAATACATCCAACAGCAAAGATTCTCTGTCTACTTTTTGAAACTCAGGACGGGGTTCAACTAACCCATTCTGTTGGCAGAAGCCAGGACAAGGACACCTGCTAGAACAATGGGGCTCCCCCCCTCCCCACATTGATTCTAGAGGGTAAGGGGAACCCCCAGAACAGCCCACGGGAGGAGAAAGGGGGAGATCATTCCACTAGGCAAGTTGAGATACTTGTACTAACAGAAAGCTGTCCAAGAAGAATGTCAAATTCCACCCTCAATCCAACACCCGCTGCATATGAAGGCCAACCATGTTAAGTTATGCTTGTTCTGTTTATACTGTGATTTTGGACTTCTTTCCTATTGCCTTAAAACATGGTGGTCACAGCAAAAACCCCAAGCAGACCCATCCTGTAGGACCTGCATGTGTATAATCCAGGGGGCCATTGGCTGGTCAGGGATTATTATGTTCTCTCTTTTTTTGCAGATAATTTATATTAGTTTCTCAGATATGCAAATAGTTCTCAGCTCTGAAACACACAAGTAATTGTGGCAGAATTGAGAAAGGGGTGCAGCGCATGATTCTCATGCACAAGGCCCCAGCTTTGATTCATGGCAGCTCCAGTAACAAATGTGAAAGATCCCAAACCCTGGAGAGACACTGCCAGTCAGTGCAAACAATACTGAGCTAGGTGGAGCAATCATCTCACTTGGCAGGAAGGTGCTCAACAAAACCAAGCTCATCAGTTACCGCAGATATTGACTTAGTCCCCCTTATTCAGCTCAGGGTAGCCAGCTACCCATTCCATGTTGCAAAGGTACAATGCACCACCTTTAGTTAAGAACATAAGACGACCCTGCTGGATCAGGCCAAAGGGGCCCCATCTAGTCCAGCATCCTGTTTTCACAGTGGCCAACCAGCTGCCCCAGAAGGATATGCACAAGAAGGACCCAAGCACAGGAGCACTCTCTACCCCCATGGTTTCCAGCTACTAGCATCCAGAAGCATTACTGCCTGCCACCATGGAGGCAGAGAACAGCCATCATGGCTAGTAGCCATGGGTAGCATTCTCCATGATTCTGACTAATCCTTTTTTTAAGCCACCACTGCCTCCTGGGGGAACAAGTTCCATAGTTTAACTATTGGAAAAGTACATAGGTGTCCAGAATCTTCCAACATTCAGCTTCGTGGGATGTCCATTAGATCTAGTCTTATGAGAGGATAAAACTTTCATCTCCCTTTCTTCATGCTGTGCATAACTTTATAAACTTCTGTCATGCTGCCCCTCACTCACCTTTTCTCTAAAGTAGAAAATCCCAAAAGGTGCACCCTTTCCTCATAGAGGAGTCACGTAAGTTCACTGATATAATGTTCAGTAACTTTTCCAGTTAGGAAAAGCTAGCATGTGAAGAGACCTGTCATTTTCATGCTGGTATGTTCCAGTTCTTGCAACAACTTGGTGAAACCTGGAAGGCTACACCACAACCCAAATCCCAGGTAAACTCCAAATGTTGCAAGATGGGGGATTTGGAGCACTTTGAACTCCACCCCACACTTTCCCTTCTATGTACAACTTAAGTTTTCCTGCAAACTGCTTCACCAGCAGAAGCTACTTTCAAGTGCTCAGTATCGTAAAGCCAAGAGAGAGAACACTAATTCCACTAATGGCATTTTAATGATTTCAATTAAAGAAAAGGCGTCTGGTTAATCGGTGCAGGCATGGTTGCCAGGACAGTCACTCCAACACACAAAGTGAATCCAAGCAGCCTTTATCCTCTTTGCCTGTGATCTCAGGACCAAAGAGCCTCCAAGCTGGCTTTCAAAAACTGACGCTCTAATGAATCCATACAAGGGCCATGGTAAGGAAACATCAGGGATCACAAAGTGACATCCAAATGCATGTTGTGTAGTTGGCTCCACCTCCTTCTGGCATGGATATCTTCAACTCCTGGGGAAAGGCTATAGCAGCCCAAGCAGAAGGTCCCAGGTTCAATCCCCAAAGGAATCTTCAGGTAGGGCTGGGAATCAGAGGCTGCAGGAGCACCAGAAAGGAAGCTGGATCTGAGTCAGGGCTGAAAGCTGACTGAGGGAAATACGAAGACCACCGTACCTGAGGAAGTTGGACAACAACTCATACAGGAACTTCCAAGACTACCAGGGACCTACAGGATCAGAACCTGGACCCTCATGGACACCGTCCCCTAAGCCTGAAGAAGCAGATGGCTCCCAGCAAAACATCATCAGTTCAGCTATGTTGGAAGCACAGCTGGAGGGAGGCTGTGGAAAAGAGAAGGAGTGTTTGTCTTCAGGCCAGGGGGTTGGCCCTTCAAGGAGCTGACAATCTCTACAACTGGATGGAGCCTGGAGGAGGTAGATGAGAGACAGAGGCATAAAAGGTCCCAGTCTGCTCCTTTCATGGAGCAAGTTGCTCACTTGGAGCTGTCCATGGTCATGAGACTTGCCTCTCGGCTTGCCACTTTACCTGTAGGCTCTGGCATCAGACCAGAGCCCAGCTGTAAAGCTACAAGAGGCAGTAAGCATCCTATGCTCCGAATTAAAAAGCTAACAGAGTGATGAATTTACCTAATTACGGCAAAAACAAACACTTGCAGTGACTAAGGCCAAGCCTGTTCCCCTGCTTTAAAAGCAATTACATTCTACCACTGCACATGCTCGCTCATCACAAAATTCAGGATGGGGACACAGATAACACGCTAAAAGGTTCCTTTTGCTCCATGTGCAATTGCTTTCAAAGGCTGTATCTTGAGAAACATCAAAGCTTCTGTTGACTTTCAATTTTCACTTCCCCAGATTAAGAAGTTCGTGAATGTAGTTGCCCGTTACAGCAGGAGGGAGGCAGACAAAACAAACTCCACTGGACAACTATTAGGGTGACATCAAAGCAAAACCTGAAGGACGTGCTCTGTGCAAGTTCTATCTTCCATTGCAGAGGCACAACCCCTACTGTGTATAGCAATTTTCTAATGCAAATGGAACAGGTACCTGACAATGGGACATCCACAATCAGTTGCCAGGAAGGCTCACCAGGATTTGTGGCTTGGCACTACACTGAATGGTTTTGTGGGTATATACTGGGTTCTCATTTTTATGCAAGAGTCACACAGGCTGCCTCCCTACCCCTCTCTGCTCCAATGGATGCAGTTCCTACAACTGGGGATGTGGATATGTAGCAAAGGGCTGAAATTGGCTAGGTGGCCACCCCTCTTGCAGAAAAGCTCTGTTTATTATTTAAATTTACACCCTGTCTTTCCACAAAAGGGTGCTTTTCTTTCTTGCTCTCCCCCCCCCCCCCAGCATCTTGTACTGACATAAATCTAATTTACACCATTGCAGAAATTACATACATGATTGTGTCACACCAGAAAATATTAGAAGACTTCTGGGG